TCGCAGGAGATACACAACCTCCACATATCATGTAAGTAAGTAGAGTGAAGTTGCCGCTAAACTTTACATACGTCTGTCTATCTGAGTTCCCGGAAAGATATCAGAGATGTTTTACCGTAATCGAATAAAGTCGACGGCGCGCGACACAGTCTTTGTCGTGGTGGGTCGCATGCGAGCCGGCTAATTATTAGAAACACACACACATTCGCAGAGAGAACGCGGCATTTCCAACGTCATCCAAGTAGAGATGTGCGCGGTTGGATCGTTAAAACGCGCCTCTGATCGTCCGCCCCTCGAATCACGATCATCGCTTTGTTAGCCGAGGGACAAGGGCTTCGAAGCGGCGATTGAAGCGCCGGTGTCATTTCGCGTTAAAACCCATTTAAGCGTCATCGGAATAATAAATTGTCCGTGACTAACGAAATGGATATTAATACGGCCATCTGGTCCGATGAGAACCCGTTCGCGCGATCGATGTCACCTGCGAAAACCGTGAGAAAACCAGTCCACCGATTTTTATCGTTGCTCGAGATAGATAACCGTCTCTGTTACCTGCTGCCGTGTGCGCGGGGCAGGTTTCTTCTCGCGCGCAAAATACTGTGTCGTTACTACAATGTATCCGCCTCATTACCCTGTTGCGACACCAGGCGTCTACTAATTTATCGCGAGTATTCATAATTTACAAACCTGCGATAAATTGCGGCTGCACGATTCATCGCGTATCGATCTCAATCGATCTTGAAGCTCTCGAAATAGACTCGCGCCGTTCCCCGATGACGACGACGACGACGACGACGACGACGACGAGGAGAGAACGTCCGTGCGGCCGACGTCAAGAAGCGACGGATGTCGCGTAATCGCATGGCCGAAACGTCCCGCTCTCCGAGATTTCCGAGCGCGAGGTCTCACCGAGAATTATCGGACACCGTCCGCGTGTGTTCGCCGGCGCGAAATCTCACGATCGATATTACTTCGGGGCAACACTTCGCGGCATGCACGGAATGCAAGGCAGTAGCGGGGGGAACGCGGGAGGAGGAGAGGGTGAGAGGGCGAGACGCGCGAAATGCGGGCGAATTACGTAATCCGATAGCGATCGCCGGATTTCTCGCGACTTGCGAAAATCAATCGGCACGCACTCGCGCCGCACGCGCGTACGTATCATGTTTGTGCTCTCTCTCTCTCTCTCTCTCTCTCTCTCTCTCTCTCTCT